CTTCCTTCCTTCCTTCCTTCCTTCCTTCCTTCCTTCCTGTTTTTATATTGCATTGTTATAAACACATTTGCATTAAATCAGAAGAAACCTGGAGTATTACTGTTAATTAAAAATCAATGAAGTATAATTTTTTTCTGTTTCTTTATGTTCCTGTTTTTTTATGCTCCCAGAAAAATCCTCATGTCATTCGCCTGGCAGAGGAGCGAAAAGGCCTGGAGCAGCTGACGATGAGCGCCTCAGTGAACCTCAGCCGAGCCTTGCAGCTCAGCTCCCACATCCACAACATGTGCAGTGAAGCCCATGAGGCCATTTACACCAGGGAGACAGATGTGAAATACTGGTCTGAGAAAGGTATTGGATCTTTCAATAATACATGAATTAGTCCCCTTTAATTTGTTTCTTTCTGAATTATTTCAGGATTTTTTATATATATATTTTGAATTTGCCTCGGATTTTAGATGAGAAATTGGTTTTTAACAGCAATGAAAACTACTTGTCAAAGCTGTAGAGAATCATTTTGACAGCACCTTCTTTCATTGACAGCTTTGAAAGAAAGCCCCCTTGATGGTCATGGTTCAACAAGCGCCATCATTTTCAGAGGGAATCACACAAGCGTCTCTTTAACATGACAAAGCTCCCCTCTTACCCCACCATCTGCCCTCTTTTTTTACCCACTTTGTTTGCCCTCTCCAGCTCAATACAGTAATCTGAGGGAAAACACAAGGGAATAGCTTCACACTTTCTGATGGCATGCTTTTGCTTTACTCATGTTGACAAGACTTGCTTTTTTTTGTTGCAGGGGTAGACGGCTCAATATTTGAGGTCCTGCCTCAGACAACAGAGACACCCAGCTTTCAGGCCTGTCATTCTACTAAAGACTTGTGGCAGCCATGTCTCTGCACGTATAGCCTGCGACTGGAGTGGTACCCATGTATGCTGAAGTACTGCCGCAGTCGGGATGGCACAGGCAAAGGCAGCAGCTACAAATGCGGCATCAGGAGTTGCAGCAAGGGCTACCATTTTACCTACTACGTTCCCCAGAAACAGCTCTGTCTGTGGGACGAAGAGATGATAAATTAATCTTTTATAACAGAAAGGAGATCTATTCAAGTCCCAACCTCTGTTGATAAAGGAAGGACAGTTGCCTGAACTCTCACAACGACACATTAAAATGATCCTCATCATTACCTTGCCAAAAAAACTTACACTTGAGTGCCTATTAAAGAAGAATTATTTGGAAAAAAGACACAAGACAACAGGAGTGACCTCTCACACAGGCTCAATGTGCACAAAGCCGATCGATGTATTCGTAGGGAATGAAAAACCAGCTGAGGAACAAACAAGTCCCACATTTTTAAAAGGATCATAACGATGGTGGAATTTCTGTTTTTTTTTTTGCTATAAAGTTCTGTGAAAATAAACATTTATGGCCAGTTTAAGCTCATGTTTAAGCTCCTGTTTACATCACGTAATCAGGTTCACAAAGAGAACATCTCACCAGCAGTGGCTTCAATCATCTAGGCCTATTGTATTATCTTGTTAAAATGCTCTAAATGTTTGTGTTTTCTTTAGACTTTTTCTTGCATTGCATTGAACAAGCTCTTACGTCTTACACCTATCTAAACAACAGATCCTCCAGAAAAAAATATTTTTCTTAGATACTTCTAACTCCTTGAATACTCTTTATGCAGATATAAAATGTCTTTCTTTCCAGCATGTCTTTGCTCTACCGCCTTTCTTTCCACCCCATTCCTGCAGGTATACTTCTAAAAAAAGTTCTAAATAACCTCAATATGACAAAAGTAAAACTTTTAATAGGGCTTATGGATTTTTTTTTCTCCTAAAAACCAAACTCATTAGTTTGTTTTGGTAATCTTTACTGCCATCTACTGGTAGATTCAGGTATAGGTTCCACAATCAATCGTTTTTAGTTCTTTGTTTGTAATTGTTGTTTATTTTGTTTTGTTTTTTTAATGCCACCACTTAAATATTTTATTTATACATTTTAAATCTTTGGTCATTACATGCATAATTCAAGAATGCTTGAACTCATGGGACCAACTTAAGCTATGTCCATCTGTGATGTCCAGAGCAGTATGTTGAACTAAGGTTTTATATTGTCTTACCTCTATTGTGGTCTTTAACTACCATACAAACGTTTGGTTTGTATCATTTTGTTGTTGTTGGCATCTCCTGCTAACTAAAGAACCAAATAAGTGAAACATTTTTCACTGTGGCCTTTTGTGATTATCAAGTGCCTTAACATTTCCACTGTAATTTTTGCAATGTAATTGTAGATTGAATGGTTGAACATATTTTTCTATGGAAGAGGATTTTGAATTGTTGTAAATAGTTGTTGTTGAGAGGAAGATGAAGCAATTTAGGTATTGTATCGCATAGAGATGTTGTACTTATGTTGTTTCAATAAAATCATTTTGCACTGCATTAAAGAATGTGTGCATTTTTGGTCCTTTTTAGCATATAAGTGAAAGAGAGAGCAGTAATGAATAGCAAAGGTAGCAAATTGGATTTAGTTCATCTATGTTAGCTTTTAGTTAAATTAATAGATGTTAATTGTTTTTTTTGTGAAAAACTAAAAGTTCTGTTTGCAGACTTCAAATTATCGACAGATGTGGCTTCTAAAATCTTGATATTTTATGATATTTCTGCAGTAAATCTCACATAATTATTTTTTTTTTCATTGAGATTTTATGTGATAGTGAAAAGAAAGAAAAATCAAATAATCTGATTGGTGTGGCATGAATCTGTACACTACATGTTTTACTATGATGCCACTAAATAAAAACCATTGTAACCATCTGACTTCAAAAGCAACCTAATGCAGTAAACGGAGTGTTTAACGTTTTTTACAGCTGTTCTCTGAAGGTTTTTCAGGCAAACATCTGTGAGCAAACACTATGATGTTTATGAAGCAAATGGTCGACAAAAAAAAGTCGGGGAGATAATAGAACTAGCAGACGTGCTCCACATGTCTAGCATTTATGAAACATCCCAATTTGCAGAAGAAACTACTTTGATAATATTAGACAAAATATATGGTGGTAGCAGCATTATGCTGTTTGGAAGCTTTTCAATGGTAGAAACAGAATTGTTGGGAAGAATATGGACACCTTTTTTGCATCATGGAATAGCTTTGCCAGAATGTGTTCATATGAATATCCTTTCAGAAAAAACCCAAAGCCTTTTTTATTATCTAGAGTAGAATGAGACTATAATCTTAGGATTATTCTGATACCCCTGAACACCTCCTCCTGCATCACTGTGCTTTGCTTATTTGAGTCTAATTACCTACTCACTTCCCTATGGTTTTATTATTAATTCTATGATGGAAGATTTACTTACATTTCCAGATGACCTGCATGAAAGTTCCTGGCTTTTCTTGACATTTTCAACATTAATTATTGGGAAGTAGTTCTGTGAAGCATTGATGGAGTAAAATAAAATCTCTGCATTATCCTATTATACATCAAATTTTCCCCCAGACTCGCTATGATTTTTCCAGGTATTTGACAGTATTTGAACTAAATATCCTTATTTATAGTTCAGCCAAGGTCCCTCCATCGGGTTATTCTCTGACTTTTACATATATGTTTGCTATGCTGTTAAATAATTTGTGAAACCAGGAAGTTTTGCTTTTGATATTGGATGTATATATAAAATTATTTACTATTTATGCTTGAAATTATTATGAACAATATGATATCCAACCTTAGATTTTTCCAAAAATTACTTGTTTTTTTTCTATACTTAAGCACAAGGCTAGTGAAATACTTTTTCTCCAACAGTCAGCAATGGTTACAGAGAGGTTAAACCTCCATGAAGAATACATGTGCTGCACAGTACATTCTGTTTATATGTTAATATTGCTTTTGCATGTACTAATACTGGCTTTGTAAATATAAATTGTTATCAGTTGAACAATGGGATGAATGTCTAAAATACTCCCTAGTTCTACCTCAATTATTGAGAGTCCTTCTTTGTTTTTGTATTTTTATTTGACTTATACAGACATTTTAAACAAATGATTGTACAGGGAAAGCCATACTCCCTCTATTTCTCCAAGAAACCATGTTTTATTGATGTAAGTTCTAGGTGCAATCTTGTCCCAAATGAAATATTTAAGATAGATTTCACAAATATGTTGTAAACCTGGAGTGAAAAGAGGTACCACAATGGATTCTTAAATGATAATTAGAGAAGCTAAAATTATTATTTTTTTTTTTTTTACATTAATCTTCTCTGAAAAATAAGGCTTAAACGTGTCATGGTCTTGGTTCTGTTATGCTTTACTTTGCTCCATGTTTTCTAGTTTTATTGGTTTAATTCATATTTTGTTGTATTTTCTGGATATATATGAGTTATTTGGTTTTTATTTGTTGCCCTCTTGTGTTGGTCTCCTTTTCCCTAGCTCCTTCCTAGACTGCTCTCCACTCACACCTGCTCCTTATCAGCCCGTTAGCCCTGCCTTTGTTCAGTCAGCTATATATACTGTCCCTATGCTGTCACTCTTTGCTGGTTCCTTGTCGTTGCTGTCGTCATAACTCGTATTCCCATGGCTCCTTGTGATTGTTTCCCCCTGATGTCTCCATGGTTCTGGTCTGTGTTACATTTTTAGTTGGATTTTTTTTTTTACTTTTGCCTCAATTGTTTGTGTTTACTATTAAACTGCAAGAAATCACCTTAGCCTCTCTGCCTCTGCATCTGGGTCTTCTCAACCCCAATCTAACCCAGACAAAATGTCTCCCCTATTTTTGTATTTTTAAACTTAAACAATTTCCTCCAAGCCTGGTAAAATGTTGCTATGTGCATGCAGACCAATAGAAATACATCACTGCCTCTCAATTCTGGGAGTGAGCTTTCTTTGAGAGGAAAGTTTGGCCTCAGAAGTAAAATGAATGTGATCTTCTAAACACAAAACAGTTATTGTGTATAAATAATACAATTCAGTTTAACAAAAAGAAATTTAATTCATTTTGAGGAAAAAACATAGAGAATAAGTTTTTTGTTATTTTTATGAAAATGTATATATAACGATAGGGTTGCTTTTATTTGTAAAATTTCCGTTTAAAGGAACAAACAAGATTTTTTTTCCCCCTTTATTATTAATAATCGACAAAATTCACAAGTGTTTCTTTTGTTTGTTAAAGCCACTATTAGGTTTATTCTTCATACATCATGTGTATTGTTACTTTGTTAGCCAGATTAGACATAGTAGGAGGCCTTCCTTCACATGGTGGATGTCACTGTGTGTACGGAGGCCATCTAATCAGGGCAGCCTTTGCGTCTTTAAAAATACACAGCATATGGGCACATCTTGGGGCTGGACTGATAAAGGAGAGCTATGTGTAATCCTGGGGTAAAGAGGCAAGATGCATGAAGGTCAGGGCATGGATGACGTGTCAGTTTCTGATATGGACAGCTAAGCTTCCACCTGATGCAAAACATGGACTCATGAGGTATAAGAAGGAGGAGATGACCTTGTTTGGGGCTCAGTCTTTGCCGGATGCTCGCTGATGTTTTTTGAGCCCACAGCTGTGCCACCTCCAAGCAATTTATCTGTCCTGTAACAACCTGACCTGGAATAAACACCGTTACTTTTTTGCTCCCGTTTTATAGTCCTTTTTTACATGGTTTTACCCAGTTTGAGTTAAGAGTAGTAAATAACTTGCTCCCAGGTAAAGAACCGGTAGGAAACTTCTGAGGCGCAGCCGCTATCAGGGGGACCTAACATCCATATTTAACAATTGGCATTTCCACCCGTGACCTGGAAGCAAAACAACAGAGCCTCCAATGAAAAAAACTCCACAGCCTGCAGCCGCAACAACAAAAGGGTGAGGAGATTCCTTACAAAATATCTCCAGTGTTTTTAATGTTAAAACACTTTGGCTGTGTTGTGATTTTCTGAAGTGAGCTGAAGCTTTTTATACATCTGAGGACAGAGAAATTGCTCAGAGGGGCTATAGAAACCATTGGGTGTGAAAACTTATTTTGATGTCTAACATGAGCATATACATCTTGGGTTTCTATAAATGTGCACATGTAGTTTAATGATATCCTAAAATTAGGCTGAAAAGCACTGTTGCAGAGGTCTTAAGCCCGGACTGATGAAGAAATTATGATTTTTGTTGAAATTGGGGAAAATTCCACCATGAAGATCGATCAAAATTGATACTAATGGATTAAACAAACTTTTTGTGGCCTGTCTGTCCTATATGTGGAATGCATGTAAGGTAGGGTGTGTATGGTGCATTTTGAAATGATCTAGAATAGTTTTTGATGTCACAATATGATTTGCATTTTTTACAGGATTTAGAAGGAGCTCTGGGGACATAACAGAAGAGTAATCCTATCAAACATATTGCTCAGAGGCCCTGACAAAACCGGAGCAGCAGATAGCTGGGTCAGCTTTTATAAACAGGCTGGAGAATTAAAAACAATTCTGTGACCTGACCCTGGGTTTTTCAGCCTCCTGTTTTTATCTTTTTGTTTTTATCTGTATACAATGCCGTTTTGAAACTGCCTAGGCACAAACTGATAAATTTGCATCTCTAATCATTACTAACCCTTATCTTTTCACTGCCCATCTGGTCCTTACTTTCTTTGCATGACTTGTTAATTTCTTCTAACTTTAGTAATTTTTGTGAGTGAAATTATTAACTATTGACTAATTGTCGAACTGTTTGATTGCTTTTTCTTGGTAACAAACCTGAGGGGTCATTTACTTTTGCCCTGCTTGTAGATGGTGACAGTGAGGTTGTCAGTGGGCAGGCATGATCATTCGGAGGCCCTCTAAGGGGAATGAGGAGATTTTTGAATTGATTTCTCCACTTAGGTTGCAATTCAACCTGTTGACCACAAGGTGTCAGCGTAGTTCTGAGAAATTGATTTAAGTTCCTGCCAGTCCGGGGATAAAAACAACAAACATTTTTGTGATATATTCAAAAATCCTGCAATCATCTTTTAACATGCTGTGGTTCGACAATATGTATTCGGAGCACCCAACCTCATTTTATGTCAAATCCCACGCAGTATATTTTTAGTACTCAATAAGAACCAGAGGATGCTGATGAGGGCTGTTGCCAACAGAGCAGCATAAAGGACAGCAAATAGCAGCTAATGTTTTATACCAGTCTGCCGTAGAAAACATCAGCAGCGAGCTGAATGGGACCACAGAGACCGCCTGATGCTTAACAAAAAGGTAATCACATTTTGTATGTTTGCTAAAGCAGAAGAAAGCGCTTCATATTCTGTGTAACGTTAGCCTGCTACAGCTGGTTAGCTTGCTATCCAAACCACCCGGGGATCAGGTTGAAAAAGCATCCTAATGACTAGTTCCAGTTAATTCTCCTCTCTACCAGCGGACGTCAGCGACTGCTGCACAATTTTTACCCCTAAGGTGAAAAAACGAAGCCTTTAATTTTACTTCAGTTTGTCACTAAATCCGGTCTTCCATTAGGTTGTCATGGAAACGGCATGTTTTCAACACCTCAAGTGTTTTTATCCAGCTTTAAATATAGCTGTTAGATTTCTACAGGTCAAGATGGGGTCGCATTTTTGGAAACTGATGTTTTTTTTATATTTTATTTATATCTTTATATTTGTTTAATATTAAATACAGACTTAAGTACATGTCTGTCTGGGACAACTGATGAATAGGCTGAAAACATTAAAGGAGATAAAGATTCTTTGATTTGAAGAAATTGTGGAATGCATTTATTATCTCACATAACAGATTTTTTTTAAAGAAGAGTTTTTATGCTTTTTTTTTTCAAATTTTTTTTTATTGGGAATGTAATAATGTAACATGCTTCCTTATGTATTTATTTATTTACTTATAATGGATTTTTTTATATATATATTTTTTTATAACTGCGTTTTTATGTGTGAATGCAGTGTGACACATAGTTTGGACTATGTAGCAGTCTGTACCCAAATCAAATTTCCTTTGGGAAAATAAAGTTAATCTTAACTTATATCTTTATCTTGTTCTAGTGGATAAGACAAACAAACAAAAAAAAGCTTGGTGAACTAAATTACATATTTATAACATCAATTGTCCTCTCTAGGGAAAGGACTAACAGAATATTCAGAAAGGGATGTGATGTACCAAGACAAAATGTTTTTTTCTCAGTGTGGAAAAGTGTGAAGTTTTAATTAAGTATGTCCCAGGTTTGAGAAAACCATTGTTTCTTTTATCCGTCCATCCAGTTTCAGTTCATCTTGTTCTTTGCTGATTACAAATCTAAAAGCCTAACCACTTTGAAAATATCTGCTTCATAAATTTAATCCTTTTTTGTGTCTTAAAGTCAGACAGCAAATGCGATAACCATTAAAACATTTTCATCATATGTGAAAAAATTTAAATTTTGACATTTTTCACATTGACATTTCAGGGGAAAAAAAGCGAATGCAGTTAGGAAGTTATGGAAACTGCAAAAGACATTATTGCTCAAGTTAGACCACCCGTAGGATTTATTTGGTTTTATCTCCATTGAAAAACCCCGGAATGTAGAGATGAGATAATTGTTTGAGTCCAACCTAATAAAACAATATAAATCATTGCATAGAAACATTGTGCCCTTAGGGGTGATTGTCTCTTGCAAGTTGTAGGTTTGACTGCTGCTTTCTCCTTCCACATTTCGATGTGCCTCTGGGCACAGATCCACCAGATGTGCGTATGTTTGTATGAATGTGTGCGACTCAGTTAGTGTGGCTCTAATAACAGATGCTTTGAGCAGCTGATATAACTAGAAAAACAATATTTGTTCCATTTCTCTTCGTTCGTTGGCTCCATCTCATGGCTATTATGTCATTACATATACATATGATTAAATGTAAGAAGCTTCTTGTTTAGTTTTTTTTACTTAGGCAGGATCTAATTTCTTTAAACATAATTATTAGTCCTCCATGACCTGTAATTGACATATAATTTGACAACACGTAGCATTCATTTGTGTCTACAAAAAATTAAATTGAAACATCAACAAATGTTTTGTAGTTGCAGGTAGTTAGATTCTATTTAACCTGTTTATTTAACAATAATACATCTCTGTGGGTTGTGCCTGTAAATGGGAGAATTGCTATACAGACCAAATGAGATTATCCAAATATATTTGTATTTTTTATGTTTTTTTTTTTTTTTTATGCTTTTCTTTTTTGTAGTACTTTGAGGTCTTTTTGATGAAAAGTGCAGTATAAATTAAATGTATTATTCTATATCTTGGGTAGATCTATAGCAGTTTTTTTTGCCTATTATTAACAACGCCTTGCAGAAGTATTTAACTTTCTCATATGTTACAACCACAAACTGATTGGGATTTTGTGCGAAACACAAACAGGAAATGGTGCATCTTGTGAAACAGAAGGAAAAATATACATTTTGAACAACAAAACTTTCTAAAACAGCTTGTCTAATTGATCTTTTTACTTTTAGAGACTGAAAAAATCTAATCCTCTAGTGGATTTTTTTTGTTTTGGACCATTCTGCAGTGCCGTATACTTTAACATAAACCATTCCACAGTCAATATGGCTTTTGGTTTAAGGTTATTGTCCTGCTAGAAGGTAAACCTCTCCAATCGCAGGTCCTTTGCAACAGGCTTTCTTCCAACTATTAACTCTAACTTTTGCTTTGGAAAAGCATCCCAACAATAAGATGCTGCCACCACCAACTTCACCAGGAGGATCCTGTATTTTTGGATATTAATATTATGCTGATAATGCAGCTTAAAGTACTGACTGACACCAACATAGACCTGATATCAGCACTTGATCACAGACATTACTCAAAGGGGGGAAAAAGGTAGCAACAGTAGAGGGAGTGGTGGCCCAGTGGTTGGTGCATTGCACTTGGAATCCAGAGGATCTGAGTTCAAGTCCCACTCTCACAAACTGACACTCTGGGTCCCTGAGCAAGGACTCTAAACCCCACACTTATCCCCGGGAACCGCACAATGGCAGCCGACTGCTCTCTAGGGGCAGCAGAGAGTGAATTTTGTTGCTCTGTACTTGTGATAGTGTACTGACAATAAAAAATCAGCTGGGGAAAAAAAAAAGATGTGTGCTATTAACCAATGTCTAAGAGTTTAGATGCATTTTACTCCTCACAGTCACCATGGAGTCTCAGTCTGTCTCAGTATGTTTCCCGTTTGGTCATAATCTATAGGATATAATGAAACTTAAGATATTGTTTAATAACCCAAACCTGTTGTAGACTTCTTAAAAACCTTTATGCTTTTTTTTTTGTCTCAGTGATCTTAAAATCTAATTAGTGTCATTGCACAGTTATTCCCTGCTACATGTTGATTAGACATTAATAGATTTTATTGGTTGTAATGAAAAAAATGTATTTTACAATTATATTTTGTGGTTCCAGCAACATTTGCTCTGTTTTTATTAATAAAACAGTTTTTAATGAGAAAGCAAACTAAACACTAGCAATATAAAATAATCTAAAAAAAAATTGTCTGGTGTGTGACTATTAGATCCAGACCAAACAAGATAGAAACAGTTTTGTTTTGGATGATTTATGCTGTTTTTTAAAGTTCAAATGTCATTAGACAGCAGCCAAGAGATTTTATTTTCCTCATGGGATCCTGTCTGAGGCTCTTTGCCTGGTAACCTCTCTGCCCGTTTGGAAAGCAGCTTCTAAGGCCCCCAGTTTAGTGAACATCTTGTTCTCCTCCTTAGAGGGTGGTTCTGTCCATCTCCAATGGTCTCACCACCTAGCACAAACGTCACAGCAGGAGCAGAGACGTCCCCCTCACCCCATCAGACCCTCAGCCTCCTGACTATAGTACTATTATAGTTCAAGCAAAGGCTACTTGTTGGTGATTTACAAAGGCTGCACAGTTCAAGCCTTTGGATGGCATTTCTGCCCCTCACTACTGTAAGTGATATTACAAAGGGTGACATCTGCCTTCTTGCATTGTTTGCTGCCATTGCTATGTTATTTAAAGGAGGATAAATGCTTATTTAGTCTCTGTATTTTTTTCCCCAGCATTTTCTTTTGGGTTTTGTCTTCAGTCGAGACGATGGAACTGCTTGTAGTTTTTGCACTTCTCTGTCTGTGCTGCTGGACATCTTTTTACTTCATTTTGTGCACCATCAACGGGTCCAGGAGCTACGAATGGAACTGTCGCCTCGTCACTTTGGTGCATGGCATCGTTGCGGTTTGCATCACAGCGTACATAGGATACATAGATGGACCGTGGCCGTTCACTTACCCAGGTAGGAAACCAATATGGTGTTTTCTTTGCAAAATGTTAAAGCTAAATGTAGCTTTTTTTTTCTCCCTCAGATTTAATTAGTTCCTTTTCCAAGTGATAACTATTTTTAATGATCTGTTTCTTGATGTCAGGCACCAAGAACACCCCTCTACAGATAAGTGCCTTGATGATCAGTTTGGGCTACTTCATCTTTGACATGGCCTGGTGTGTGTTCTTCCGCACTGAGGGAGCCATCATGCTGGCCCACCACACCATGAGCATCCTGGGAATCCTGCTGACCCTGTGGTTGGGCGAGTCTGGCATCGAGGGTTGCGCTGTTCTCTTCGGCAGCGAAATCACCAACCCCCTCTTGCAAACACGCTGGTTCCTCAAGCAGACGGGACACTACGAGACTCGGCTCGGGGACGCTGTGGACGTCCTGTTCGTGCTGCTGTTTGTTGTGATGCGAATCTTTGTGGGAGGCACAATGCTGTACTGTGAGCTGATCTCCCCAAGACCCAGATTCTTCATCAAGTGTGGAGGAGTGGCCATGTATGCTCTGTCCTGGGCCTTCATGGTGGACATTGTTCGCTTCACAATACGGAAGAGCAAGAGTTGGCAAAAACAGAGAGTCCGAAAGGAGATGGTCACAGCTAATGGTCATGATGGGAAGATGGACTAACTGGCATCTGAGTCTTTAGATAAAATCTGTGTACCTGACTTCATATCAGTTTTTTACTGTAGACTTCAATAGTTCTTATACAGGAAGATCAAATTCCTGCACTGATAGATTGATAAAAGGGTCTTGTTTACCATTTATTGAAGTCTAAAATGTGTGTATTTTGTAAGACCTTAAGTTTATTTAAACTTCTTTGTACCAGAAAACTGTTACTTCAAAGGTGCAAACAACACATTCGTAATGATCACTGAAAACCAAAGCACTTTTATAGAAGCAGTCAAGTTTCAAACATCAATCCAGAGCAAAACCTTCAGATAACTTTTTTTCATGTGCAGAGAAATGTTTGTAACATAGTTTTACACTGACAATGCTGGGTACTTATACTTCACCTGCTTTTTGTCTAAGGGAGAATTACCCTGAAATATTTTTTGAAGTTTTATTCCTAAACGTCTTTGGAAAACAGTTTTTAGTTGCAATGAAGCAAAACAGGATAGCTAATTTGGACAAATAGTATTTTGTTCTAATATGTTCCAGTTCATTTGCACTGAATATTTGTTTAAACGTCAGGTTTCTTTATTGTTTGCCAATAGTTGAAATTATTGCAAACCATGTGTCAGAATTTGATTTCAGTTACTTTTTAACACCTCCGCTCTGTTGGTGAATCTTTACAAGAAGCAGCTTCTGTCTGCAAAATACAAGATATGGGATATAGTATAAGGTCTGAGCGTACAGCACTGTCCCATGCCAAGGAAGGTAAACGAGCCATAGGCATAGATGTTGTTAAAAATTGTTATCTTTGTCCTGAGGAATATAATCATGAACTATTCTGTTGCATTGCTGCTGTTTGTTAAAAAGTAGCTTGTTTGTTTGTCTCCTGATAATATCACACATTATTAAACTTTACAAACTGCCTCTGTCAAAGGTACAAACATAACTGCTCTGTGCCTTATCTAAATGCACTGCCCTTTGTTTTTGTTTTACTCTTGTGCTGTAGTCTGAACGCTCCGACAATAGACTGTACAATGAGAACATTGTTGACAGATCCTATTATATCTTTTTATTCCTTATTTAGAATAAAACAAATTTTCTTCATTTTTAACAACACAATGTCTATTCAGGAAATCAATTGCAATTGAACCAGCATCTGATATGTTAATATGGACTGAAGTTACAACAAGTGTCCACATGATGGTGCCATTCCATTTACGTTTCACTTACTCTGATCCTCTTGAGGGCACAAATACAAACCAGGACTTTGATTTTTTATTTTTTTTTCCATTCAGGACAGTCTTTCAAAAATGTTCATGTTTTTTTTATGCATGTAGTAAAAAGCTGAAATTCCAGCAGAAATTGGCTTAATTTAATCCCTTTTTTAACATTATCTACGAAAATGCAGCGTATCAAGATGCACTCAACAAGTAAAAGATTTAGGCACAATCCCTTTTTACCTTTACATTACTTCTAAGCCTTACCTCTGTGTTTTTCTAGTCAAGGATGGGCCAAAAATTCTGAATTTCTAGTTTTAAATACAGATTTCTCTCATGAGCACACATGGAAAAAAATATTGGTGAGTGTTCTTGTAGATCCTCTAAAAGATTTTGCTTTCTTCACTAATATTTTTTATAACTGCACAATATTTCCTGTTATGTCTATTTTGAATTGTTACAATATATATATTTGATATCTGTTTGCTGCTTTCAAGTAACCTTGAAAAGAAAAAACAGAAAACCATCACAATAACTGGTTTTAAATATTTATAAAAAATTATAATTTTCATTAAGCATACTGATATATTTTTTAAAAAGCATTCTGCATTTGGATTATATTTTCTTGAATACACCAAAAATCCTACTCTGTATGATTTAATGTTGCTGAATTAATCTTAATTGATTATAATTGCCCTTATTCAGCAAGCATTGAAAAAGTGACATTTACACGCATCTGCTGCAGGCTTGATTACTGTTTACGGGACAAATACAGTCATGCTGCATCACATCTCTTTTGTCATAATAGATGATGATCTTTGGGCTTTTCAACTGGGTTTACTACTGTCCCTCTTAATGAATGGTCTAACCGCTACCCGAGTTAAGTCCATTTGGTCAGGTAAGTAGATGAGGTCATGCGTCTGAGTAACATGAGGGAAGACAATTGGATTTTAAGAATTTGAATATTTAGAGAAAACGTAGGCATATCGTATTGACATGCACAAGCACAGAAAAAGTTGTTTTTTGTTGCTCTTTTAAAATTCATTTAACAATTGTTTTTTACAGTGTTTTGACTTGGATGCTGAACTAAACCTTAAGATCAATTGGAGTCTTCCCTGTCATCTTTGAGCTTCGCATTATTGCTTTAAATTTGAGTGAGGTTGACCCCCTAAAAGGAGAAGTGGTAGAGCTATATAATACTCTCTTGTTCCAGATGTTTTGCAGACACTAATTGTCAAGTCTAGTTTATTTTCTAAAAGTATTATAAGCACTAAAGTTGCCATTTTCTTTAAGCATAAAACCAGTGTATGCTGAATAACTGTTTACATATGTTCACTTTGAATATTTTTCAAGCATAATACTGAAACTCATGTTTATTTCTATTTTAAATTATCAGCATGCCATTCTAATGTTTTAAATGTGATCAGTTTGATAGGAGTAAAGAAAAAGTACTTTTTTTTTTTATTATTGTACTAACTTAACTGTTAGGATGGGAAAAATATAAACTTTTGTGAACATTTTTTACATTTAAATGTTATTTTTGGTAGATATCAATCTTTATTTCTGAATAGAAATTTAAACTTGACAGTTTCATAAATTAGTTCAACTATGACCAGTTTTTAAAATATACTTTATTCATCTAATTAAATTGTAATTATTAAGATAATTTTACTCAGCTTGTTTCTATATTAAAATTCATTTTTAAAAAAAAGGAACAAGCTTGTAGGCTACTTAATATAATATATTTGTTAAAATAAAACAATAAACAAATAATGTTTTTTAGCGATATGGCTAAACATAAAATCTGTGATTTTTTTTAATAGTAAATAAGACCAGACCTTTTTTTTCCCCTCTTCATTTTGATGAGAAAAAAATTTAATTTTTCAAAACACCCTTTTTTTTCCCATAAGTCCCTCTGGTAATTTACAGGAATTTTAAAATGCTAATAACAGTATACTAAATCAAATGCTTGCTCTAAAAGATTAACTTTTTCCAACAAAACTGAAAAAACAACAACATGGACACATTTAAATATAGATTCCTTTATCATGTAAAAAGTATGGAAGAGGATTAGGGCCACTAAAAAAAAGTTAACTGATTTTTGAATATTATTTCGGTTTAATATGAGAAAAAGTCATCTCAGTAATCTCAGAATTCTGACTTTATTCTCAGCATTCTGACTTTAATCTCAGAATTTTGGATCTTAATGTAGATGGGCATCATGAAGGAAGAGATGTGGGAGCACTCAGCTTCACCGACAAAGATGTGAGTTGTTTGGGAGGGCCAGTAACACGTTGGTGGAAAATGATGGAATTAGGCGACTTTTTGCGTGCCTGAGGGGTTCCCAGTGATGCTATTTCATTAATGGAAGAGCAGAAGGTGATTAAAACAAGAGAGCTAGTTTAGTTTTTAAAACAGACATAGCTACGGCTTGATGCTAACATGTTTGTTAGCTGTCAGAATTCAGTCATAATTCTAATATTAAAGTCAGAATTCTGAGATTAAGGTCAGAATCCTGGGAAAAAAGTCAGAATGCTGAGTCAGAATTCTAAAATTAAAGTCAGAATTCTGAGATTAAAGTGAGAATTCGGAGATTTAAGTCAGAATTGTGACTTTTTTCTCTCATACTGAAATGAAATGTAAAAATCAGTTAACTTTTAACTTCATTCAGTGGCCCTAATCATCTTCCGTACAAAAGCATGCAAAAAATAAATGCATAAAATAATTATTTTTATGAAGCCTGTTTTTTAAAATCTACGTCACTGAATTGTAGTATTAAAACCCTTCTTTTTGGAGAACAGTTACACATATATTCAGCCTGCCTTTTATCAATGCCTTAAGGCCTTTAGGAGGAATGATTTATATAATATGGAAACTGATATTACATTGTTATTGCTCATAGCCGCACCAATAGTAGTCACTTAAGCAATCTTATGGCGATGGTTTGTAACGTCGTAATATTTTCCCATATTCTCCAGCCGGAAGTGGTCAGTGGAAGCGCTACTGGACTCCAACTGGTAGCAGGCTAGGGCGTTGCTAGCGGCGGAAAGTGGGATTTCTTCTCTCTCTATCTTTCCTCAAGTTATGCTCTTTCACAAGCTCCGTCTATCATCGGAAAACAGCGCCTTTTTTTCACGTCTACCCAAACTTTTAGTCCCCTTCGGAAGCTTTGTGTGGCTTTTTAGTTTCACAGAGGAGCGACTGTTAGTGTCCCGTTAGCTGGTCGCGAAGCTAACCCGTTCTCATCCACGGAGGGAGGAGGAGGAGGGGGGATTCTGCCGAGAAACAAGCTGAATTCTGGAAACATGGAGTCAAGAAGCGACGTAGCGCGGTGCTAACCGACTCTGCTGGGTTTTCTCTTTGCTCCTGGGAGACTTTGCAGCACCGAGACGAGCTACTCGGGACTCAGGAGAGGTGTTGTTACATATTTTCCGTCGCGGCTCGCTCGTCTCACAGTGAACAGGAGTTTGCTTAGTTTGGAGCAAGAGCTCACACGAAGCAAAGTTTTTTTTTTCTTTTTGCTGAAAGGGCTCATCTGTTGTGCTTGATGTTAGCAGTCGAGATTACTTCTTACTACCATGAGAAAGGATTTCAGGAAAACAACCGCATTTCATTTCATTTGTATATGAATATGATCACCTTAAGCCGCTTTTGTTTTCTTTTTGTTTTTAAATCTTAACATTTAGCCGCAGTTGCTTTTTGCTAACTTGTTAACGCGCTATACTCGCTACTGAGCGATTCTCATGATCGAGGGAGAGTCGACCCCGCAGCCACAGGCAGGCATTTCTTGGGGGAAAAAAAGGGAATACCGAATGGGACTGCAGGAATTTCCAGCATCTTTAAAGATCATTTAGGCACCGAGGCCAACTCGTAATCGAAGCGAGGGGTGGTGGCAGACGGACTACATCGCTGGGCCGAAGGGTGTCTGGATTGTTTACACGTTTTCTACACCGGCGGAACATTTGGGGATGTGAATAAAAAAAAAAGATTTAACCAACGAGTTCACATTTGCACGGCAAGTTGTGCAAGCTGGATTTTTTTTTTTTTATTATTATTATTATTGCTGTTAAAAAATAAAATAAATCTCGACACTGTAAGGTCACTGCTGCTGTTTTGGTTTGGACGAGGATTACCTGTAAACAGGACCACCTGTCAGTGTTTTATCTTTTTATTTTAGTTCTTTTTTTATCTAATCGTGGGACCTGCCTTGCAAACAGCCAGGATTTCCCAAAGGGAGCTGATTCTGAGCATCATCTACAAAATCCTCGCCTACTTTACAGACGAATGCCAGAGAAGGATACTCCAGGAAGTCGGGTCACCAAGCTCTGGAAAATGTTAATGGGATATAATTTTCTGCAAATCTAGAACCGGAAGCCCAATGAGTGACACACAGTTCAGCTCGACTGACAGGTAATGTCTGCACACACACATCAATTATTAGACCTTCTAGGGCCAGGTTTATCAAACTATGCTTGTTTGCTTCTGGTTTTACTATAGCAGCTTTTAGAGGTAATCAAAAGGAACTGCCATCAGTTAGTTGAGTTTTAGAAATCAACAAATCAGAATGTATTTTTTATCTGATTGCCTGAGATGGGTTTCATTTAACACATAAGAACTAGGAACTTCCTCATTTGCTGTTTATAAATGTGTCAACCTACAGGATGCACTGAAATTACGAATGTAAACAACTAATCAACTTACAATTAACTGTCAATCATTGTTTTGTTAGACAAAAAATTGTTCCATCTGATTATTTGATGACATAGGCTTAGAAAGAATTTCCCTGTGTTTTGATGTCACCGCCGTCCACTAGGGGCGCTGCAGTTTATTCTTAAATAAAGTCTTACTGGTAATTACAGTAGAAGGAATGCTGGAGCAGTGTCACTACCGGGTGTCCATAAAGAATGTAATCATGGTGCTAAAATTACTTATTTCTATGTTTAACTCACCAAAGAATGCTAATACACATCTTTAAAAATGTTTTATTACTTTTGTGAGACAATTTTGATGTTTTTTACAATTTCTTCATTAAACTGCTTCTATGACGTCATCATGGGAAATGCTCAGAGCAGTCCAGCAAAACACGATTAAATCGTGTTAATCTGCATTTTAGTTGTTTCTTTCTTTAGATTACGCACTATATACCACACCGTTAAACGAAACGAAAACATAAAACTCAAATAGACTAGATTTATGTTTAAATCCAAAGCTGAAAAAGTTAGCCACCAGAAGTAGTGTAGGATCCCATCTCCTGTGCAGATCAGGCAGAGATGAGTGATAAAAAAGAAAGGATTTTAAGGCATTTATTTTCTCAGGAGATACATTATTAACCTTTAACACATTATGTTTTAGCACGTTTACTATTTTTGGGGAGGGAAAACATCATTTAGGTCTTTTTAACAAAATACAATCGAGGGCGACCTGGATGTATATCTAGATGCACAAATGAGCTGATGGCACATGTGCAGAATAGATTGTGCTTCCAGGATGGACCGGTTAGTGACAAGCAGAAACCTGAATTAACCTACTAGAGTCTGGTCCAGTAATATTTTCACTTTTTGATTGAAACAAGGCTGCAGACAGACTTTTTGCTGTTCTGTTTGTAAATATTGCCATTCGATAAACTCCTTGTCACCTAAATAGTGACCATTTAGGCCCCTACTTAAAGACTCTGCTAATAGCACTGATTACACTAAAAACAGAGCTACATCACGAATACCATCTGCTTCATTTAAACAAAGAGGCAAATGGTCTGAGAGCATGTCGGAGTGACAGTTTTACATCTCTGTACACTGTAAATCAGGGGTCTTCAACGTTTTCCAGGCCAAGGACCCCCAAACAGATGGCAAGATGGAGCAGAGACCGCTCAATTATATATATTTTATGAAATTGTGTTATATCAAACTGGTCCTATAGTCACTCTATTACATATGGACTAAGGTAACGAAAGTGATTTCTTTCTGGGATTATTAAAGTATTTCTGATTCGGATTCCTGGTTGATGGGACAGGTGTTTTGAATGAAATGGTGCCCAGCTTGAAAGAGCTCCTGTGTGATGCTGAATGTGTGCATTGATGACTCAAAGACATTTTCTGCCTCCATTTATCTGTTTACTACAGTGTGTTTAATTAATGTTATTGTGTATTTAAAGAAAAAATTTCAGGGGGAATAATAAAAAAACAAAACAAATCTTAACAACCAAAACTTTTGGGACCCCCATGCAGTACCTCTGTGGACCCCCTAGGGGCCCCAGACCCCCTGTTGAAGACCTCCGCTGTAAATCATAAGTGTTTCACATATTTAATTGCCCTTTATTTAGTAACCTATTAGATTCTTGTGATTTTATATCTTCTAAATATGTTTAGCTTAATAAGGGGTAAGAAAGGATTTTTTTGGTTTATGTGGCGATTATTCAATATGGCTGGCAAAATAAATTTTTTAACTTATAATAATGTACTATGTATTTTTTTTAATTCAGCATAGTAAAAAAAAACTTTAGGCCCTAATGTAAATGGAAAGAGCCTCTTTACTAAATTGTAAAACTTTTTTTTTGTCTGCTTGTCAATAATTAGTTACTCGATAAGATTAATCAACTTTTAGTTCAATTCATTTATCAATTGTTAACTGAAATACCTTTGTTTTTGTCTGAAAGCTTCTTCTCAAACAGTTCATGAGCAATAAAGGAGGATCTTCTGATAGTTCCCACATGACATCATCGTCCCTCCCTGCCGCCCTTGTGTTACTAAAATGAACCCTGAAGCAGCTTTCTGCTTTATTGATTGCTCATAAGAGAACCATCATAATTGTTTATTGTAGGGTTCAAGGTTGTTAAAAAAATGTAACACAACAACAAACAGAATTTTTTATTATGTCCCAAGAATCAGAAGTAGTGAAAGTGAGCAAACGTAATCACTAATATCCAGAATAAGGCTGGACAATGATTTAATATCAATAGATCACTTAAGTATTTCATGATAAAACTGTATCCTTCAACCTATCAAGAACGGATGCAGCGTCATTAGATAATTTACTTTTATTAGAAATACACTGATAATTCTATCTATCTTTAAGAATTACATTTGAAGATATTAATCAATTTAATTAGGTTTTTTAAAGGATTATTGCACCTAATATCAATAGAAACATCTTGTCCTGTTTCCTGATTTTTTTTTAGTCCAATCAAAAAGTTAATCAAAGTGCATACTGATGACTTATTTATTTAGAGATTACATACTTTGGAAGTCCTTAGTTTCTGTGGTTATAATAATCATGCAGGGGGAAAAAAACTATTATATAGTTTTTGACCTGCTGATGACAGGTTCAGATCTCTGGCTGATTGGTGTTTTTTTTTTTTTTTTTTGACATAAACGTTAAAAAAGTCCTTGTCTTGCTAAATGACTCCTGTCAGTATAATGTTACCTGGAAAACACACTATCTTCTGGGTTTTTTCATGTTTTTTTTTTTTTTTTTACAAGAAATGTCTACAACCGATTTTCTAGTATTTCAACCTGACTGTGGATTTGTACATACTATGCATGCCTAATGCTGATCACTCTGTGTTGACATGCTCATTAGTAGCTGAGTTATTATACCACTGAAAAGCATTGCTAACAGAGTTCTTTCCAATGAGGGGGCAGTTGTCAAGTGATTGAGATGGCCTTCGGTGTGTCTGTGTAAGGAAACAGTCGTCCCTGATCCACGTACACCTTTCAACATCACTATTACCCCTAAGCCTTTAAAGCTAACCCTCTCCTACACCTATTAATGCAATCTCTGGATTTAAATAAAACCTCGGCTGGATGAAGTAATCGCTTTATCTTGGCAGCTGTCTTTCTAAAATCAAAGGTTAAACCAGAGGGCTAAATAACATGCTCTTTGGGCTAAATAAAATAAAGCTATCGGTGTGTTTCACGACACCGAGATACAGTCTGTGGACATCCCCACAAGAATGAATTCCTCCGTGAGGTTTGCACCTTTAGGGAATAAGGAGGTTACTGTTCTCAATCTGATGTACACTGACAGTGAAAGAGAGAAGTGAAGCTGGTGGGTTACATCAAGCCTTCCTCCCTCCTTGAATCCCACATACCTGCAAGAAGATCAGGCCAAGCTTCCTGGAATGTGTTTGTGAACTTGGAACAGAGGGGAGCTTATTGCACAGGTTGGGATGTGAAATATCCTCATGGCTTTGAGCTGGAGGCTAAAGCCCAACCCATTTTACTTGACCCCCTTCCCCCACTGACATGATGGCAACAGTGGCTGGCACCAACTGCAATTAAAGTGCTATTTTATTATGTGTGCTCCCTCTTGTGTATGTGTGTGTGGCTTGTCAGATGGTTTTTATGTGACTGTATAGCTTGCCCCGGGTTGGTACAGCCGTCGATATTCTACGCTGTTTAGCACTATAGGGTAAAACCTGGTAACTTTCAATTGTCTGTTTAATCGGGTTATTTGCTTTGGCAGGCAGCCTGCAGCCAACATCTTTACATACAGGTTTACTTGCAGGTTGGCGACTGTAGTTTTAAAACAGCAATCAGTAGCAACCAGTTTTAACTTTGTTTTTATTTTAAGCAGAATACACATGCAACTACTAGATTTGGAGCTAGATTTTGCTAATCTAAATCTGTATCTTTGGCTTAAAATTCTCAGAAACGGAAACTTCAAGCATACCAGGAGAGGTCTATATCTAGAATCAGCGACATTTCAACCTGTAAAGCTAACATAAGATGAATTTGGAAGAATTAATAAGAGAGAATATGTTTTTTTATAACTATATATATATATAACGGCTTAAAAGTTTGATGTTGAGTAATCATATTTACACCAGCTACAGAATTTTTAAATCTCTGTTTACATGAACACTAACTAAAATGATCTGCTCATCCTCAACCTTAGGTACCAGTCTGCCTCTTACATTTCACCTTCTTCAGTTCCTTTTGTTAACACTTCTTTGCTACAGGGGTAGAGAGGAGGATGGTAAGTTCTTGCGCACATTACCTTTAGTTCCACCTCCTTGACCAAGAACCAGGAGGCAGTGGAGGAAGGTTACTAAAGAGAAAAACGTCATGCTAACATTGCACATATGCCCACGGGAGATTATGTTACTCCAAAGATCTGAAGGAGTGTGTACATGGATACCAATCAGATTGGCGATCAGCAAAATAAAATCTCTTAAGGAATGAAATTTCTTTCCCAATTGGAACGAATCGGATAGAATCTGTAGTCTGACATGTTTACATGAAACATTTTTTATCTGATTAGGCCTTCAATCTGATTATTTGTGTCCATATAAATGCAGCTAGCGATGACAACACACCATGGTTGGAGTTTTACTGTTAAAGTGGGAAATGAGCTAAAGTTTCTCATCACAGTGCAGAACTACAAGAGACCTACCTCAGCAAAATTGAGCGTGCC